TCTTCTCAGAGATCCATATAATCATTTAAAAGCGGAAGTCAAATGTTATTAACCTGATACTCTACTTCTATGCCTTGTGACTTCTTTAAGCTTAAAAATGAAAAGAGAATTCGCAATATGTCAACCGTTTGTTTAACTCTCAGTTTTGATAGCGGGCCACTTAGGGACTCCGCCATTATACCGATGCCATACGGGCTAGCCTCTAGACAATGCCAGTACTCCCAAGCCCTACTGTGTGTCAAATATATATATATATATTCTGCTAGAGTATTACGTCTTCTTTCGCCCCCGAAAAAGTTTCAGTGAGCCACGTAATTTTCATTGAGAAGCGGAACCTCTTGCTTATTTCACCTACATTAATAAAACATCGGTTTGAATCATGCATAGAGAGAAACAAATCTATAAAAAAAACATGGGTTGTCAACGTTTTGTTATAATACCTCAGTTTTTCGCTTAACGCTTCACTTTGACTTTAAAGACGCCTGAACTTCGCGATTGCACTTCCGCTGTTTGATATGGCCTTCAGGTCATTCCAGCGGCCTCAGCCCTGCTCCATGCCTACAATGCATATGCCACCCAAGCATTATGTATTCTTTCGACCCTAGGAAAGTCTTGGGGCGGCACCTTAGTGATAGAGAAAACCAAACCTAATCCTAAAGGACAAATATCTGACTGCAAATGCTGAATGCCAAACGCTAAAGTGACGGAAGAAGTGCAGACGCTGTGAGTGGAAGAATTTGCGATGATCCCTAACAGAAGGCTTAAAAGTAATGCCAAATTAAAAACTGAAGCGTCAGTAGTCGTAGCCGTGGAAGACATTCGTTGTGGTATTGTCTACGATGCCTTTATGAAGGTGTCAATTAAGTGAATACGCGATACCTTCTCCACTTCCTTACATGTTGGATAGAAAGCAGGTGGCTGCGGTTGGGGAAGCAGTAAAGTGAGAACGAAATGAATGGGAGGAAAGACGCAAGATTTTATCCCCACGCTGCTAGTATAAACCCCATCTCTTGGTAAATGACTTACCTTTTAGGGCAAGTGTTCCCACGACTAGCTATGACCACGCGTGGTGGCCAGCACATTCCCATATCTCCCAATACAGTTCCCATACAAAAAAATATCTAATAGAAATTAGTGAAGCTGAGGTCAGCAATCTTTCCAGTTGCATTTAATTTTAATGACTGGTGGGTTTGGTTCGTGGGTGTTTTCCATACAACATAGGCTAAACGCGGACAGCCGACGCAGGAGGTTTAACATAGAGAGTACCGGCTGCGATACTCGAAAGGGTAGGGGGACTGTGCAATACTTTGATTACTTGTCTAAATCTTCCCTTTGGTTGCGCGGTCACTGAAAGCCATGGGATTGTATTTCTACTGAGAGAAAAGGCTTCTGGGCCATGCCAGTAGCCCCAGAGCTTCTTTACGTTGATAATAGATGTTCTGCTATAGTACTGTCTTCTTTCTTCCTTAAGGAAGTCTCGGGGATACTCATAAAAATTTAGTCGGGAACCCGTTTGACATTAAGTACAGCTCTGTAAACACATCTGACTAATATTTGTCTGAAAATCTGATCTTGCTATTAAAATCTAGTATTTACCTGAAGGAATCCACTTTCCGAAAGATAGACAAATTAGTAAATGACATTTGCTGGCTTTTTCCACTGATAACAGTTCAATTTGGGGCCCATTCCTAAAGTAATGGGGTATTTTTACATATTTTTAGAGTCTTTTTTCTCGACGTATGATGCATGCGCTTCGCTCAAACAGTCTGCCGCCATAACTCTCCATGAAGACCCTTTGAATCGCTACTGGGTTGTTGGGTAGTTTCCCACCACTACCATCAATGCTAGTTGGCTACTCGCAAACTAGGACATAGTTGTCAAAGGAGATTATTGTTTCTGGAGCATACCTTGCCTTTTTGGCAAATAATTTCCATTCGTTTATCCTTTTGCCTGAAACATCTGGGTGCAGTGCCTCCAAAATTCAGCCGTCAATGCAGGTGTTATGCAATGTAATGGAAAAGTTAGGGAGGTGAAGATTGAAGTACCAGTGCAAAGCCCGTTGTATAAATTAAAATAGAAGTGGGGAATCAGATTTCATTTTCCATTTGTTCAGAGGTTTTTTATTTCTCTATATTAAGTTATTGTGCAATGTACACCCTTGTTAAACTTCAACGAATTTGGGATCAATTTGAAATAATTTTAACAAAAAATTTTGTTTAAAATCCACTATTAGTCAACCGAATGTGTTTAAAGTGCGTTGAAGCAAAATTTCATTTTGTATGTAAACCATTAAAAGTGCTACGAAAAATAAAAGATCTACTTTAATTAGTCGTCTACCGTGGGACCTGGCAAATGACAATGTCATAGTGATAGAACTATTGTAAATTTGCAAATTTAAAGTGCGTGTCAGTCTTTAGTCCAATGCTAGGTTTTAAAAGAATGCACTTGATTTAGCTACAAATATATTCATTTCAAAACATAGTGTAATTTACAAATGCTTCGTAACCACCTAAGACTAATTTAAACGTAAGTAATGATATTATAGAAGAAAAGCTCATATTAGAGGGTCGCTGAGAGCTAACAGTAGTCCTCTAGTGGAATTCGCTAAACCAGTTTTCCTTGTCTCACCCCAAGATGTAAAATCCTAAGTCTATTCATGCGAAGCCTTGAGTCATCCGATAACCTAAAAGCGAATTTGTTTAGATTTTGTGCCATGCTGAAAGGAACTCTCACCAGAAATCGCGATTACTGACAAGTATAATGTCAATCACTCTAGAATCCATGGATTTTATTAGTTCCTTAAGTGAAAAATACAACAATATATGGGTTTTCTATGACATGAAAAACGTGTTTAATGGAGAAGTGAGGTTTTGGTGGGAAAGCAGTTATATCCTTATATAAGCAATATGGTCAATATCCATCTGGGTGTGTCAAGCAAATCGGAGGTTGTAGCCTCCTCTGGTTGTCTTGTTGCATTATTAAACTATTCACGGGAAGGTAGCTTTAAGAAAACACCTAGTCTTTCCACTCCTTGTACAAGCCCCACATCGAGGATTTTTTAGTAGAAGTAACTGGAGGTATTTTGAATGTTTGTAAAGTGAAAAACCCAAATTTTAAAAGTTAGAGAAAGTTATACAGGAAGAGATTAACTGCTCGCACTATTCAGTTACCGCTGCCCTCTGATGCATTTAGGCCATTGAGAACTTTTAAAGCATTCAAAATCCAGGTAGATCAGAGCAGAATAAAGACGAACTTTGTTTAGGCTTGGCCTAGTGTCAGTCCTTTCAAGTTGTGAGGACACGTTACAAAAATAAGCGACATCCAAAAGGGCTCTGCCTTAAAATAGTGTTTTTACGGTGGTTCCTCTCCCAAGGTTCTCGCTTTAATGACTTTTCCTATTAAATTAGCCAAACCATCCCAAAAGAAGGCATAGGCAGCTCTCAAGGCAAAGTTTCATGGTCGCGCTCTTTGTCCGGGCAAAATTTTAGTCTGAGCAAAATCATTAGGAGGTGAAGGAATAAATACAGAATATTGCAACAGTTGTTTGCTACATTAAATCTGGGAAAGTGAGGTTAGAGTACGCTCATCCTAAAATGATGCCAAATGCGGTAAGACTTTGAGTCAGAATTTAATTCGCCTTTCATTGTAAAGGAAAGTGTTGGTCCGAAGAAAGTAAACAATAAACCAAAGTCTTGAAAAAACATTTTAGTGCTAGAACTTAGCAGTTTGAGAAGAATTTGGGGTATCACTAATTATAAAATGAACTCTGGATGGGGACAGGTATCATCCTGAATGGCTCCATTAATCAGGAGAATAAATACGACCAATGCAGTCAAGATACTTAAAAGTGGAAAGTGAAGCAATACAGCGGAATGCTACTATTGCTGCCTTAGTATAATTACCGAGCAGAGACATGGGCAAATCCTCTTCTTCGTGAAGCTGATTTATGAAGTTATCGGAACTTGGACTAACGCATTGCAGCTTCCCGACACTTCCGCGAAGACGAATAAAGACACAATACTCTGACAAAGTATGTACCGGACGAAACATGGCTGGGCTTGTTGCTACCAAAGTGGACCAGAGGTCAGAGGTACAATAAGAGAGCCCCTCAGTCGCCCACCACCAAGATTTATTCATCCTGATAGCTGAGTAGGCTTAATGTAATTGAACTTGCACCTCTTTATTGGGATTATTCCAATTTAAATAAATTCTTTTAATGGATTAGTACCAATATTAGCAGAATCGAATGAAAGGCTGTCGATTTGCAGCTACTTTGTGCGATTCAGCTTACAAACAAAATAAAAATAAGTGTAAAAATTTTTTCCCTTAGGATGCTCTCTTATATATTATATTTCTTGTGCACTCAAAATTTAAAGTTATTTTATTAAAATTCCCCACTAATTTTTGTTGTACAAACATTCAAGTTTGTCCTTAATTTCACACATACTGGAATTTTGGCACACTCTGTGATTTCACTAATCACCATTTTAAATACTTCCTTTAAGGTATTTGTGCTGCAAGGCGATTAGTACACGCTATAGCTGCTTTGGAATGTTCCAAAAATTGCCAAAGCACTGGCACTTTGCTTTCACCATTGTCAAACGCCTTCTAAGCTTTCAAATGCTCCAGCAAATCAATGGTGGTTTTGTCAGGACCACTTTCATTTGTCCCACATGACAGCAGAACAGTGCAATTAAGCATGTGTATGGGGAAACAAATCTATGAAAATGTGACTTGTCAAAGATTTGTTGTAATACTTTAATTATTTGTTTTACACTTCCCTATAGTTGAAAGGATACTTGAGGCACAGGGATTGTACTTCCGCTAGGAGGCATAGCCTCCGTGGCATGCCGTAGCTCTTCACTCTTCTTTGCGTCGAGATATCATATTTCCCCTAGTGAAGTTTGCCTTCATCTTCAGAAAAATCTCGGGTGGCCGCATTGTTGAGAGCGGAAAGCAAAACCATCCTAAAAAACAACTGCCCTAATGTATATTACCGAATGCTAAACCTTAACGTGACGGAAGAAGGTTATACACTGTGGATGAGAGAATCTGTGAAGACCCCTGGCAGGGATGCTATCAACAACTCAAGCAACACTGCCCGCAAACAATCGAAACGGTTTGTTACGGAGCTGTCCCCCATACCTGTATGGCAATGGCAATTAAGTGAATAAGCCATACCCACTCCACCTCTCTTCCACATGGATATAACAAAGGTAGACATGGCTGGGCAGCACTGAGTTAAGAGCAAAGTGGTAGAGAAGAATAGACGCAAAGCTTTAGTTCCGGCATGAGTATTTTAGGCCCTCCCTTTGTTAAGTATCTCTACTTTTAGACCAGTAGCCTTCCGACTGGTGATGTACAGAAGTGATGGTCTGCAAATCCTCCGCCCCAATAGCTCCAAACAGGTCGAAACTTCAGATCCAATGGAATTGCCAAGAAGGATCAGCTACATGGCAGTTGGATATCTTCTCCGTTCTTCGCAAACTCGATGACTGGTGGTATTTTTTCTTACAGCTCCGACTACCTTGTAATGGCTGACACAGGAGGTTGACAACGAGGAGCGCCGTGGATGAAGTCAAAAGAGGAAGGAAGCTCTGCAATAGGTTAATTGTTTATTCAACTCTTCATTTTGTTCAAATGGGGACTTAACGCTCTGTGATTGCATTTCCGCTGAGTAGCATGTCTTCTGAGTCATGTCAGTAGCTCTGGCCCTTCCCTTCATGGACAGTACATATTCTGCCCAAGTATTATGCTCCCTTTTCCCTTCAGAGAAGTCTCGAGGCAATATATTATCCCCCCCCTAACTTTTCTTTTTCAATCCCAGCATTGAATATGACACAAAGCAACTAAAGAAAGTGCAATTTTTATCGCATGAGGAAAAGCTTCATTGTCGTTTATAACATTTTGGACAACGTTATTGAAATATCCCTGGTGCAGCTGGGAAATTTTAAGATCTTTTTAAAGGCGAGCCAAAATATTCTTGCCAACCAGATTTTGCACACAATTTCCTTTAAATCTTAAAAATCTATGACCTGTTGGGGAGGACTGCATTGGAGCGTGTTTAGAACTTCAAAGCTAACTTCTTTCATGCTTTGAAACTGACGTGAAGTTTTTGCTTGGATGAGTAGCCTGGTACAATTCCAGATGTTTTAACAGGACGCAAATCAAGTGCTCATTGATATTCCTCACCTTTGAATCGGTAGGTCTTGGTCTGCCATATGAGGAGTTACTGAGCAAGCTTCAAATAATCACACCTACGGTAGAATACAGTATTCAGGATTTCCCCTAAAGGAAGCAGTAAATACTAGACATGGAAAGCTAAACAATTTACGTGTTCATTTCAGGAAGAAAAGGGTTTTTGCGCCCCGAGACCTCCATGAAAACGAAAGAAGACGTACTACTGGGACAGAATACATGTATTAAACATACAGTAGGAGAGGGGGCTGCTGACCCGGAGGTCAACCCACCCAGCAAAGGTGCAATGTCTAGGAAGCAAAGTGGCCCTTTACTAAAACCAAGTGTTAAACAACCAACACTTTACACTGGTATTTACGAAAATATTTCAGGCGTTCTTCAAACGCATGATTGCTACTAAAAGCGAAATTTAAAGAGAAAATTATAAATCACTTTAATTTTCACACAATGTGGCAAAGAGAAGAGATTTCATGCTCATAACTTGAATCTCATCTCCAGTGAAGCTAACATTTGATACCATTGAAATGTTCTCAATTGTTTAATGCCAGTTTTGAAGAGAACTTACAGCCTCTGCCAGAAGGAGGGTCAAAATACTTTTGGCAATCGCGCTCTAACATGCCAGACATAATGGTAGGCAAGAAATTGGTGGGGGCCGTGTGGTGCCCCGTCTATAACTGCAGTGTCTATGGATCGACGCAGATAGCGAAGACCTTCATTTGATTTAGTTGTCTCGGTAATGTCAAAGATGTTTATTGACGCCTATTTGTAGATGATGCGAGATTCTTTAGACAGTTTTAGCTCTAACATTTAGCCCATATCCCGTTTCGATTTGATTTCCTTAGGCTAATACACTTAAAGGAATATTGAAAAACAAATAAACAATGGATTATTGTTTTCAAAAACACCACCAAGAGCATGAACAAGGCGAAATCCTCTGACCACTTATTCAACTCTCAGTTCACTTGTTTAAAGGGTCATTTGAGGGTCCGTCATTAATAATTCAATCCCAGCCTCTTCTGTACGTCAGCAGCACATATTCCTCCCCTGTATTATGTTTTCTTCCATGTTCAGCGAAGTCCCGGGGGCTACACAAAAAAAACGCCTAAAGAGTACATTAAGCAGTCTTGGAAATGCAGATTAAAGGCAAGTTAAGTTAGCAGTTTTCATTAAATGTGCAAGAAGGCGATGAATAATTTCTTCCGCTTTTTATTCATTCACTCATTTAAATTTCGTTTTTTCAGTCACCTTCACAGTATAATCCATAGATTAATTTACTTTCCAACGCAGCGTGGAAGGTGAATTTTCCTAAGTAAGTTTAAAAAAGACAATAATTTTCAGCTATTTACTTTGACCAAGTCAGAAAACTTCTTGAGCATGGGCGCAGTGAGCGAATGAGCCAACATGACAGCCTCACGAAGGAAGGTAGAAATGCACATTGGCGTGGCTTTAAGGGTGGAGTCGGCATTATCCACTTATGTGATAGGCGATCACCGAACCGATGAGGTTAAAGTAAACCAATGAGAAGGGCACAGAAACTGTCACATAAAGCGTCACGATTTGCAGTGATAAACCACGCTTCGGTAAAAATTTTGCCCGGTATGTCATCATCTGGAGGTGATGCATTTAAAGCATTGAATTACTACCAGCCCCAATGGTTTTGGGTTTGTAGATTCCTTTGTTTCTAGCAAAATGTATGTTACTAGTTTGGCCCTTCTAAATGCCTTTTTGATTTTACAGTAATAGATGTTGTGGCTGATTTCCTGATTGTCCACACGTTAACGTCCTGTCAAAATTCATCGGATAGCAAAAAATCAGGAAATGAAACTAATCGGCACTTGTCCAAAATAAGCCATAAACAATATTATCGCCATGATTCAGTAAAATGTTTGTCGTTTTTTTGGCTGGTCAAAAGACCATGCAAGCTTATTTGTCTAGATACACTTTTTTGGGAAAGGTCAAGAAAGGGTTTCTGGGATCTCTATCTTTTTTTATTAGAGCAGGGTAAATTAGATTAGCTTTGCATTATTTGACTAAAATGTATTTGCATAGAAATGATAGACCTAGACTTGAATAATTCGTATCCTATTTTGAATAACGACATTTACAAGTCCCATCCATAACGTCGAGTAGTGTCACCATTTATAATTGATAAACGCCAAGCGGATCAATTTCTTCTCAGCAGCATGACACACTGTCAAAGTGTAATAGGCAGTGGTACCTAAACATGCTTTTCTGACAGATTATGCTAAAAATGACGGGTTTTCCACCATTGTAGCAATCTTTCAGCACTAAGAGGTAAATACCTAAAAATTTATTTACTAATAAATAAACAACAAAACAAATTATTTGATTTTTTTACTCATCCACTTTTATTCTTTTTCAGAACTCATCATAATTCCTGTCACATTTTCTGTTTTGCCTCGTCTCCAAATTCTTATTCATAGATTGAAGAGAATTTGGGGGCGACATCATGTATTTTAAAAATGTGAGATTTTACAAATGATGGAATTTTGATGAGGCATAAGTGTTTGCCTCCTTCTTGCCTGATTGCCACTGAAAGAGGTGAATCCAGACAACCATGCACATCGCTATTACTTGTTCAGTTATTCCTTCACAACCCATTTGAAAGGGTATGCAATGCACCCAAGGTGAAATATATTTTACCATACAGGAATTACTTTATTCTCACTATAAAATAGAATAATTTGTCTTAAAATGCCTTCAAAATACCTTTGAACAAAACAAAGTTGTAACTTAATCTTTATATGCAAGTGTCGAGAAGATTGAGGCATGACCGAAATAAGGTTGCACTTTTAATCTTGAAACAGT